CTGTGCTTTCCATCGTTATTCGTTTATCTTTATTCTACTTCTTTAAAGAATATTTTTGAAGGTTTCGTGTGTCGTATTGAGTAGTCCATGATGACGCATTATTTTGCACCCCATCCTTAAGTAGATAAATTAAGTTTAACACCATATAAAATATATTACAATTACGTACACTACTTAAGGCAAGAAGTTTGAACTTACCGTATTGCCCGTACTGCTGGTATGAAGGATATCCTGGATGATATGCTCTGACACCACCCCATCCACTTGCGCGACCTCTGATCCAGTGATCAGCAGCAGATGAACTCCAATCTGAAAAAATACACATCAATAAGTGTGCATTCGCAGTTATATGGGTTATTATTGAAGATTTGTTAAGTTTTCTTGTATAAGAATATCTTATTTTTGTGCTTGTGTTCTTATGAAAGAAAAAGCTGAGCTGCATTTTAAACATAGGATGTTGGACTGAGAAAGATTTTCAACTAAAGTACCTAAATTCTGAGCAGCTTATTAGAAAATAAAAGTACATAGCATAATTTTCAACATGATTTAGAGACTTTTGTCGAACTAATCTTTAGGTGCTTTATCATAGGATAATGGTAAACGATGTTGAGCATACCTCGTGCCGATGAAAACGCAAATGCAATGGCAAGTAGAAGGATGAAAGTGAGAATTTTCATGCTGAAATAATTTGTCTGGAAACATCTGGGTTATGTGAAAATATGAGATGGATATCCCATGAATTAATGTAGTGAATGCAAGCTAACTTGAGTTTGGTTTGATTTTGCGGAGTTCTCAAATCTTTTATACCCATCGTCAAGAGTGATGAGTATTGAAGAACTCAGCGTATTTCTAGAATAAACTTGAGTCATATATTTGAGAAATGTCTAATAATGTAAACAGTCAAGCGCTTAACATAAATTGATCACAAGCCGGAAGAAAACACGAGTATATCATAGATTGACACACTCTCAAAGTTTTTTTAGCGCTCTTCTGTGCAAGTTTTCTTAAATCAGCAATGAGGTATACCAGTTTGAGGGCCTAACACGAATTTTACTCATGTTAAACGTAACAATGCTCAGCAAATGCTGGAAAACATCCTTCTCTAGTCTGAGAATTATGAGATCCGGAAATCCACGAATTTATTTTTGTATTTTGCACATTTTCCATTGTTTCTTGACCCAAATAAATGCTCTTGCAGTAAACGCGATACAACACCAGTCATCAAATTTAGCGGATGCTAAGGATATTGAAACACTACTTATAAACGCAGCATAATCAGCATACATGATAGGTTATTTATCCTGCGCTAGTGCGCTATATGCTCGTCGCAGCACAAAAATGCCTCGCAAAAGTATCCCGCAAACGTGCTTGACGCCTCGACATAAGGAGCTACGTAGAGTATCCTAATCGAAACAAATCATCACTGCGTACACAAGCTCTTTCCTGCGTTGACACTTGTGCTAGACTCAGAGTTCGTTTAACGTTGACACTCGTTCAAACAGTAACAAAAACCAGGAAGTTTTGCCCATTGAGCGTAGCAATCTCTGATATTCAGTTTATACTTGAGGCGGAGCCAGAAATTGAAACATTTGCTGCAACTCAATGGCTATAATAGAAGAATGCAATATATGCGACATTTTGAATTTTTAGAAGTAAAGCGAGAAGCTTAAGGACTTGCAATGAAAGAAAAAGACGCCTTCGTGCCATTTTTTTTGGTGACTAAATAATAAAAAATTTTAAGAGGCGCAAATTTTCTAAAATAAATTTGTTATTTGTGCCGCTTCCAAGGAAGTGCTTTGAATACCACTTAGATTAGACATATTATCTTTACCTAAGCGTTTTCTGTGAAGATCCGTAATGCTCCCATCATTGGAGTACCTTATCACTCACTGCTGTTAACTTGAAAACAGCATCATTTGCAGTCATTATGCATTTTAAAGACTGAGCCAAAAATCTATCTTCACGGATTTGAGCCGGGATGTTGCCAAACATGTACCTATCTTGCCGCTAGAATCATCCGTTCGTTTTCGAAAGCCAAAAACTCTGATAACTTAAGTAACGTGTAGTTTGTAAGTTTCCTTTGAAGAAAATGGAGCCTTATCGAATGTATTATGGAAATGATCGTTGTTATACGTTGAACTTAAAAATGTGGATTGTAAAATGACTTTACTTTTATGTCTTTAGTTTCCGGAGTGTTCCACTTTGCCATTGGGGGATTTGCGATGTCTTTTTAAATTATTCATAACCTTAGGTAATTTAGCCCATAATTTCTTCGGTAGAATTTCATCAGGCTAGATGCACTTTGATAAAGTATCTCCAGTGGTGGAATGTATCAATCTCTCTGCCAAAATAGGGTGTGCTCTCATTTTCTGTTGTAAAAGTGCGCCGATCTCCGACAGGGAGATTGATACATTTTACACCAGAAGTTGAGTGACATATAAAACTTCAACAAACTTCGAATGCAAACGTAGTTATGAAGAGGAAACAAAAAACGCGTACTGCCGTAGTTACTATATATCACATGGTTGGTAAGGCGCCAAACGTAAACAATAAAATGTTTTCGAAGAATTTAATTTTAAAAATACTATGAAAAGTGCGGAGACCTTATATTAAAAAAAACACTGATACACATTAGATCTAAGTCAAATCTTAAAAATCCAACATCGAATATAAGTGATAGTGATACGGAGAACAATTTACGAAGTATCTAATTTCAACTGAAAGCATAGGTTCGATACAGAGACAAGACAACTAAAATGGTGGTGATTTAACATCACAGGCGTTAAGAAATCTTTGTAGTTTTTCATATATTGTGGTAGCTGAGAAAAGAAAACAAGAATATTTTCTGGTTTAAAACAGCAGTTTAGTGGAAGAATTGTTTTTAAAAAGTGGTCAATGGAAAATATGCAGTTCCTCATTCATTTTCTATTTTATCCGTGTATACAACTCAAGTGAGCTAGTCTTTTTCTGAAAAGTGAATTAGTGAACAATATTGATATGATTTGTGTTTGGAGGCTATACTTAAATCTCTTAAATTTTGATCTTCTGCGCATTAATTGCGAATGATTTTAACACAGAGAAAAACAAAGAAATTTTTTGGATGACGAGGGTAG